AGTTCTTCTTCCTCATATGTTTTCCTCCTCAACAATGTTCTGCTTGGATAATCGACGCAAGCACCCAAGAATTTCAACTGCGTGTCTTATTCAATTTTTTTCCTTATTTCGTGAAGAGGCCAGTGAGTGCGAGCGAGACAGTGGTTAGAATTTAAAATACTCATTCACTTCTTACCAACATGCTGAACATTGCTCGGTAGTCTCATGTGCCATCATTTGTTGTTATTACATCGTATATAAAAATATAAGAATGAAAATGTATAACAGGGCGCGCGTAAAGAACATTCGAAGTGCATAAAGTTCTATGCTCGGACTCCAGTCTTTTCGACGGTTAGTATGGACTGTGCGCGAGGGTCGTTGACTCACAGCCGATGACTTTTGCCGTGTGCTGAAAATGTTTAAAACGACACCAATTTTCGCTCACTTCTTGTGTGTAATCTTTGGCGTTACCATCGAGCAGCTCACACTGTTGATGAGTTGCTTCCCAGTAATTCATTCTCTCCTCTCGCGTATCGCGAGTCATCTTCAGCACCGTGAATCATTCTAATACTAAGCGCTTAGTCGCCCAACACAGGCAAACTTGGCTCTCTAAACACGCCTAATACAATTCTAATGATAGCCACATCTTAAGTTAAGAGAGCCTCAAGAACTGCCAATGTGAAAGTCTTGTGCATGCAATGCCATATTTACCTGACTAATGTTTGAGTGCAAGTGGACAAAAATATTTTGGGTATTTGCAAGGCGAATTTTGAGCCGCCCGAGAAAATGACTTTCGGAAATGACAGAAACTGAAATTTTATTAGATTTTAATTGCGCTTGTGGCCAAATGGCAGTTGTCAACATATTTGATCGATGAACGAGATCACACAAAGCTGGCAGAGGTTTACACAATGTAGGTTACATGTTCCCAGCCGCGACGGTCGAAAAAAGAGCCACACGAGGTGAGAGGAGAAGCCACACAACCGTTATATTTATTTATGCACTTTGGCTCAACATGAGAAATATCTATTGACTGTCTCGGCCACAGCATAGAACGGTACATTATAGTTGTTTAGATTGATCTCTATAATGAGAATATACCGGGAATTGCTATATTTTAGACGTGTGGTCAAGCATGCAGTTAGATAAAGCATGAGAAATGCTCCAAATAATACACTAAGGAAGCGGCGATGGAAGTAAAAAAAAAGAATCCTTTTCAACTAGAATTTCAGTAAATAAAAGCATGTGTAATTCTCATGTTTTGTGAGAACATAAATATATTCTAGACATTTTGGTACTATGTAGTTTCTCAAACTAAGATTTGTGATACTCTATCCTAAATTTCTATCTGTTTATTCTACATATAAAACATTTTTTACAATTACATTTGCTCACGATAGATGAAAAGTTAAGTGAAGCAATAAAAATTCATATTTAAACCTCTAACCTGCATCACGAAGATATTTATATCAAAAATTTTCTCGCAGTGTTTCACAAACACTTGAAAATTCGCTGAAGCGACAAAAACTGTCCCATGTAAATTCTCTGAATTTAGTCTTTACTGTAAATTCCAGCATCAAATCACTTTTCCTGTCAAGAAAGTCTTTTGTGACCGAAATGACCATATGCCTGCCCTTAAGTAGCGAGCAAAAGTGACAGAGTATTGAAAAAAAGGGTCCTTTCATGGGCAGTTCCTGTCGAAGGCGGCATTATTGCGGGATGGGTTAACAATATAGAAATATTCATATATTTTTAATCTGCCATTTGCCAATTGTTGTCCATTTTCGGGAATCCTTTCGCTCGGACTCTATTCACCATGCAAGCGAGGAGTTCTTTGTCTCATGGGATTTTAGGACGAAAGGAGGAAAAGGACGAGAGTTTGCTATTGTCCATGTAGAAGCATGTGCAAATGGTAAACATTTTCCTGGAACTCCGCTCATCAATCGCCGTAATTCCGCCATTTCTCCGCTCTCAGCTCGTCCGTCTGTCTTCCGCATTCGCTTGAGGACTCAAGTTCGAATACGCTACCAATTTCATTTCCTCACGACCAACGTTGAGGCCATGCCACGAAAGAGAGGCGCAGTAAAGGCGAATGTGTTGAGATGAGCACAGATTCGATGTGGAGAAGCTTTCGAGGTTAATGACCGACCTACTCAAGCAGCCGCCGCGCTGCTTCGACATTGCCTCCCAAGAGGGCACTGATACCCATCCGGAGAATTCACACGCACAAATTGCTACGTGGATGTGCACTTGCCGCGGCCGCGAGAGAAAATCTACACCACAAATGCGGTCATCATCAAATACAGACGCCCGTTGCATGACTTTATAGGGCAAACCCTCTCTTTCGCGTATCTTGGGCTCTTTTCACCGTCGACAATCGGAGCCGCAATCAACCTTTTTTTCTGCTATTCAGCGCACTCGATAACCATCATGAGCTCGTGCCAAAACATTGGCACACCCAACATTGATCCTTTTCTACTCCGAATTCAGAGTGTCTCGTTTTTGGGTAGGAAAAATTGAGATGCATTTCTCATACGATGCAGGAGTATCAGTATAGCTAAAAATTTTCTTTTAACCCAATAATACAAAGGCTACACCTCATATAATACATGCATGCTTTGGACGTGATGTTATTTTTGAATCATGTGCAATTCAGAGAAAATATGACCTATTGTCAAGTCTATTATATATAAGACAAAATACTCGTAAAAATAACATTGAAGACATCTTTTTCGTAGCAGAATTATGTGCTATACTCGCAGATTGTCTCGTAATGAGAAAAAAAATTATCTTGTCAATTAATAATAATAAAAAATCATAATTCTCTTATCAATATCTTTATTCGTTTAATTTTCTAGTTATCAATTAATATGTAATTTACAAACTTTTCATTCTGTTTAATTTCCAAATTCTGCACTCTGCCCAACACACTGTCCTCTAGCATTGCATGTGATCCGAAAGCGATTCTCTTTTATTTTCTGTCGTGACTCAACATGGCCGGGAAAGCGCCAGGATTTTCTCAACGGTTTCCCCTCGGGAGCGGTAGGAGAACATCGATGCAGGGAAATGCCCGGGAATTGAGGAGAGGGATGTAGTTGAAATTAATTTCCATAGTGCGCCTTCATTGATCAGTTTTCGGCGCAAGCGAGAGTGTAACTTTCTTCCGTGGAAAATGCGAGTAGTTTCCTTGAAGGGATGCGCTAATCAAAGTGATTTTAACCGACAAGTGGAATTTTTGGGTACTTGTCTAATGAAAGTGTCTGAGAATCTGATTTGAATAGAACTGATAACGGGAACACACAAGAAGGAGAAAAAAATTAAAAACTGAAAAAATAATTTTTAAGTGTTAAGTTGGATGAATTGTATGAGAATTCTATTAAAATTTATGTGACAGTAGAAAAAGGTGCACTAACTCAACCTTTTCTTCTGTATAAGATTCCATGGTAATGTATGTCAAAGTTCCATGAACGGAACGCTTTTTCGTTTTTCATTGGGAATATCGTGGCTAAACGGGATGAGTCGGGAAAGAGGAGAAAACATTAAGGGTGTGCTCTCGGTTTTCACTTGTCTGTGGTCATGGTGACGTCGACGTCGCCAGCGAGCGTCAGGTTCATGACCCCGGCAATAGCTACAACCGCTGTATATGTATGCTGGAGCTTTTCCAACACACCGAACGTCCCAATAGCAGCCAGATAGCGTTGGAAAATCACAGCAGCATTATGATAACGCCCGCAATCGCCAACTCGGCGGATTCCAGCAAGAAAGCTCCTTTTTGCTGTTGTTCTTCTCAACATCGGATTAATAGTCATATTGGCTATTCAAAGTTGGCGCAAAAACTTCACAAACTATGAGTTTTATCACGTTTTTTTTGAGAACATTGACCCTAGAATACTTTCGCTTTTCTCTATTTGTTCTCTTATTATCTGGAATTTTGTGATAACAAGTTGGCTTTATTGACTGGCAATAATCGGAATATCTAAATTTGATAATTTTTCTGTCAGAGTTTGTCGAAAAGTCTTTATAAAATAGAAGTCCTTCTATTGAAGAGTTCTTAAATGTTCGTCTGCTTGTTTCAGAATGTTTTTTTTATTTATGTACACGGTAATAGAGGAATATCGGACTTTATTTTTATTAATCTCAAGGGTTTACGAGACTATCAAAAATTCTGTCATTGACTACAGCTAAGACAGAAAAGTATAAAAATTTCTATATACCTAAGATTATTCAAACATTAAATATGACAAATTTAACGAAAAAACTCCAAGTGATGTTTTTAAAATAATTTCATTTCTTCTTTATACTGATGTCATAAAAATAAGGTTATTTAATAAACTACGCGATTTATGCGAAGAGTGTTAATACAGATCTGTCAAATAGACTCATTTTACTCTACAAAGAATGTTTTGTGAGCGATTGTCAAATATTTTCCATTTGTCATAAAAAGCCTATTCTAAAATAAAAATTTTCGATATTTTCAGTAATTAAGAATTCTCAAATTCTGAACGATTTTCAATCACGTCATCATATATTCAATTATAAGCCCCAGGCTTGTCAATGCATTCAAATACATATGTGATTATGTAGCAAAAAAGCTTCCCAGTCGCCCAGAGCTCTATCTATATAGTCCCTTTGATATTGCATTTTGGGCGAAGTGAAGTGACAAAATATGTATGCAATAATGGGCGGATTTTCGTCAATAGACCCCCTTTGAGCGACTGGGGGGCTCTTTCTCTCATCGAGCGGGTTTCGGCATGATAGTGTTGGTTTGAAAATAGAAGCTCTCTGACATGCGCCGCTGTGAGTGCATGTCGCTTGTTTTTCCTCGGATATCCCACACTTTTCGCTCCCCCTGACGTGAAAACTGTATTTGGGGGGCGCTTGTGTGTGTGCATGTGCATTGTGTTAGACAAAGAGAGCACACGAGAGAGGAGTGCGAATGAGAGAACCTTGCTCAGCACAAAGCCAAAGTGTTGTGTTAGGTCGGAATCAGTCTCTCGAGCATCGTTAGAATTTGTCTCATGTTTGAAAGCTGCACTTGCTCGCGAATCTCTCCGCACAAGAATCGCCTGCATATTATAGCTTTTTCTGGACATACGCGACAGAAAGAAGGGATATTTAATAGAGTGAAAAACTCTTGCATTTGAGGATTTGCAAGTTACCAGTGAGAATTTAATCAGCGGTGAATAATAAAGTGTATGTGAACTGGCGATAGAAGTGACCTTGCTGATAAAGTCTTGGAGAGCATAAAAATTGACTAAAACTAATAGAAATTGTAATCATACATGTGAAACTGTATTGTGAAGTCATTTGAAGTGATATATGGCTGGGTTGACAATATTTCTCGCGAAAGTCACTTCCGCGAAGACACTGCATGAATATATTGCAGATTCTCCGTGATATTGACTGCAAGGGAGCTTTTATTGAACTTGGCATTTGACTATGGCACCCTTCAAGGCCTCAGAAATATTGGCTTTGTCCTGGAAACAGTTACTAAAATCCACTGAATAAAAACTTTGGTATACTTTTAGTAGAGCAAAAAATAGAGAGAAAAACGCCAAAAACTAGGAAATAGACAATCTAGAGAGCTTATTGATGCTCTAAAGGCTGCAAAATGTTAACCGGGCATCATGTGCAATTTGTATTCAAATGAAAAGTGAAAAGGCAAAATGGCCGCCCGGAAAATGCGAGTGAGAACCGGTAAAAGATCGCTGGCTGCAGCAGTTTTCATCAGGATTTCCTACTGAGAGGATTGGGAGGCGTTCTTGTGAAAATGTGTCTATTATTGAGCAATATACTGACTTTCAGCGCCACTTACCATCACTCAAGCTCAAAGAGTTGAATTCTTTTTCGCAATTTACAAAGGGAAAAATTGCCAGCAGTGAGAAAAGCAAATTTCAAAAGAGAAATTGCCACCCCCTTTCCAAAAATCCAAGATGGAGAGCGAGTACGAATATGTAAGTTGCGTTTGCTGTATTTTGTTTATTTCTCTAAAGCATCGCACATCTTTTATATATATGTGTGTTGAGATTTTTTCGCCTTCGCAAACACTTATGGCAGTGCTATACTCACCCTTTCGATTGCAAACAAATTGTCTTGCGCAAAGTGCATTTTTCAAGGTTACGACATTATGTAGTCTCCCACAAACTTTCAGGCATCCACGAAATATTCAATAAGAATCGTCAATTGGAATTTATCGGTTGTTTTCTGGAGAAACTCTCAAGATCTATGAGTTTCATATATATAAAAACCCGAAACGGCGGAGTAAATAAAGTTTTTAAAGCAACCCCCAATCAATAAACAAGGCAAGTAATAGTGCAGGTCAGAAAAATCCACAATTTTCCATGCTAAATATTGAATTCATGCTCACCACTATTGCACGTCCAGGCGTGATGATGTGGGTGGGAAGTGAAAATACAGAGAATTAAATTTGAATGTGTAGTTGGTAGAAATACGCAGTTAAGTTTGCGTCCTTGATCTTCACATTGCTTATATGTAATATTTTAGTAAATATGAAAAGCGAATCTGTGTTTTATATTCACATGCTAATTGCGTCTAAGTCTACACTCGAATAGTACTTTAGACTTATAAGGCCAATTGAGTGTCTTGTGGGAAAAACACGTGCGAAAAGTATGCCTCCTCGATCAGCGGAAATCACTTTCCTGTCAGGCTCTGCATTTGGAGTAAATGCAATCAATAAATAAATTTGCAACATGCTATAATCTCGCAAATATATCTTAATTTGTTTAGCTAACTATTTGGCCTTATACAGTGGTGTTTGTATAAAGTGGAACACTTCCAGCAAGTGGAATGCTTCCACTGCCTATCAAACACTGCAATTGAAAATATCTTTACTCTGGTCTGTATACTTGAATTGTGAAAACAATTAATTATGCAAGTAATTTGGATTCTATCTCCAAATTTTCACATTTCTGGGGAATTTGGACGGAAATAAGATGACGTGTACCTATTTTTTCGACACTTTCTGTAGCACATCATTGATATATATCCAACACATTCGACACGCGGTAGTGTATTCACGAATCAGAGACTGAGACTGTTGATTTGTGTAGTATGCATCTTTATAATTAGGTGCAAGGTTAAAGTCGCATGAAGTTTCCTAATACAAATCACGATGGTAGATTTTCTCTTATCGCTTCACTTCCTTCTTCTTCTTCCAGACGCCAATCAATTTTCACTTGCTCAGTCCTTTTTGGAAGCTATCTCTGTACATTAAGGAAAACTCGCAAAGGTGCAATTTAGTTGGCTTGAGTTGTCGGAACTTGTAGAAAGAGTTGCTTCGCGAAGTGTAGAGAAAATTTGCGTGAGAATTTTATATTTATAGATGTACGAGGAAATACAATTAGACGTGCGTCCTTGACTCCCAAACTCTCATTTCTCGTGGTAGAATTTTCCCTGACTGCATCAAGTGCAAGAGTGCAGAGAAGAAAACACTCTGTGGCACATTTTATTTTTAGCTAAGCAAAGTGTTCAAGGTTTTCCGCACATTTATTTTTTTGCAAGCAGATCATCGTACGATATTATGCAAAATTACAGTCATTTCCCGATGCCTTTTCACGCGAGCAGGTGCCATTTAGGGGAAATCTTTAGATGAGATTTTCTCCTCGTCATTGCGTGTGTGTTGCACACGGAAAAGGCACTTCACTTCAGACAGCAAATGGATGCGCCTGAACGGGTTTTGGCGGTGAGACTCAAATTGTCAGAGCATTAGTGGAAAATCGACTAAAACCTTGGCTGTGATTACTGGAAATGAGAAAAACGATCAATTTAGTGTAGTTTTGGATTGTCATGGAGAATTAAATGAAGCAATTATCTAGCGGCTTCACTTGTGGGCATCTCAGGTAGACTCGTAGTTTCTCAGCGAGCCTCATTTTGAAATATCAATGAGATAAGGATCTTCAAGCGTCTGCTTAGAATGCATATTTACTCATAGTCAACACACTGACCGACGAGCTTGTCGGACGCATGAAAGCGAGTGTATTCTCAATGTGACCCATGCCGCTGATAAGTCTAATTTTCTCTCAAGCGTTTTCCGATTTTCCCAATACCTGCACGTATAGAAATAGCAACTGTGCGGCTCTGCGAAAATGCGAGAGAGTGAAGTGCAAATAAAAAAACCGCCAAACACACTAAAAGTCACGTTCAGTGGAAGCGCATATTCGACTGAGTATTGGTGCTGAGATAAGGTCATATTCATATCAGACTTTATATAACTGTCACACGATGGGAGATTTGGATTATTCAAATATGATGCTGAGTGTGAGAGTGATTGGCAATCACGTGTTACTGTACAGCTAAAACTTACCATTATCAATTCATACATATATTGAATGAAAAAGAGCGAATTATTTCCCGCTTATTCTGATGACTCTCATTTGAACGCCGCGCATTTGAGCCGCTAAGTGAGCGTCCGATGTACGCAACTCTGAAGATCAAGTTCAATTCAGTTTTGCGAGAGTGTGACTTGAGGTTAAAGGCTGGAATGAGTGTGTGAAACCATTGTAACGATTTTTCAAACAAATCACACTCTGAATAAATCTTGAAGATAATTAAATTAATGAATAAATATTTAGATTGGAAATGCATAACTCAGTCAGACAACGTGATTATAGCATTCAAAAAGACATTTCGAACTCGTAATTATCTCGAAGTTATGAAAGGATTAGCAACTATTCCAGAATGCACATCCTTTCGAATATAGAATTGGTTTTATATGAAGCTTCTAAAACAAAAACATTAATATTCATTTTCCGTGATCTCTGTATTTCCTGAAAAATCAGGTTGGTGATCAACATTAAATCATCATCAAGTTAGATGAACTGCGAGAGTTCAAGACGAAAATGATGCAATTGGTAGGCCCATTGTTGAATACGTGACTCTGGAATTGTGATGCAACTGCATCTCTGGCCCGGTAAAGGTATTTCACAACACATCCAACGCGATAGTTGCACAATTGACAATGACAAAGGCAATGACTGAGGTCATGTACCAGTTTAAAACGCCCATCGTGCACTTTCATTTGGATTTCTCTTCTTCCTTTATTAATGCACATGTTTCGTGGCCATTTCTCAGTCTCCACAACCCTTGTCGACCATATTTTCGGGGGTTGGCGGGGTGGGTTCGTAGCAGGAAGTGAGAGTGCAAGGCATGCACTTTCCTATACCATCGACAGAAAGCTTGCAAGCTCACGAACACATGGAAAGTGGGCAGCTTTCGGGGAAGCTTCGGGAAAATCGCGTCGGATCGAAAGAGAGGCATTTTGCGGCCTCACATTGAGCTGAGCGATTGCCCGCTCTATTTTTTCTATGATTTTGCCAGAGATCGTCGAACGCAAGTGGAGAAGAAGTTCGTCTTAGATGGAAAAGAGTTTCAACAATCGGTCACCAATATATGTACACGGCGAGAAAGCACATATTGATCCATGTAAACGTCGAGTATTTCTCTACTGACCCAGTTATGCACCAGCCACCAACACATGAATTGAATGGTGATGGTGGTGTGCGCAGTTGCATTCTGCACCGTCTCGGCTGCCGTCGCGCCTTTGAGAGCAGTGAAAATCGCAAATTAATTTTCCTTTTGACGGAGAATCCAGGAACAACTTTCCACCCGGACGCCAATCCTTTCGAGTGCTCACCACCACACCCTCGTTGCCTATAGGCCCCGAACCGGTGCTGGAAAGTGAGCATCGACACCCGAAACTCCATTTTCCTCGTGCGACCAAACTTTTCCACTCGCCCATTTCACTTTTCCGTGTTGGATGGCCTCCATATTGCTGTTTCCTATGCACTGCTTTAATTAATGCTGGGACATGACAGTATTTTAGAAAAAAATTTTTTATTTTTTACCTGCAATATTTGACGTTTCTAAACTATACAAAATATAATATAATTTTGGAAATAATTTTCTGAAATTCAATTATAGAACTTGTACCATGAAATAAATTATATATGAATGAGATAATTTAATCTGAACGTCTTCCTCTAACTTTAAATTTATTTCATCTCTAAAAAATATTGGGATTATTACAAGTATTTTTTTTGTTAATACATATAACAAATTTATTATTTGTTGGGCAACTATAGTTCTATCCTTTTTCAACTATAGAAGATGCCTAAATAGAATCATATGAAAATCATTTGAATAGCTAGAAATAAAAATGTTTTGTAAATTTTTACTGTGTTGTATAGACTAAAAAAACAATGTATTTCTTACAATGTTCCTTATCCTTGTCTTGCAGGAAGAGCTGCACCCGGGCTTTACAGTTGAGCTTCTACCGCCGGTGATCATGAGCGGTTCTGTGATAGTATCCGCCAAGGGTTGTCCAACTGGTCCTACCATTCCTCCCGAGAATATGGACGTATCCAGTCCCTCGCGAAGTCCGACGCCGGGCGGTAGCCAGCAGCAGAGCCAGGAGTATGACGTCACACGGATGCGTGAGGATGACTTTGAACGTTTGGCAGTCTACATTGTGCCCGACGTACCCTGTGAACGGGGCGTGGCTAACCGAGCGGAGAAAACCCTACCGCGAAGTCTCACGCTCAAACCATCCTTAGTCCTATCAACACCAAATGTGCCGGTAAGAATTCAGGATGAACATTTGATTGTAGCTAATTATTTGGCATTTCAGACTGAAGGTGTTTGGAGTACCGGCGTTATTCCAAGGGGAACAAGGTTCGGACCCTTCGAGGGTGTTCCTACCCCTAACTTTCCCAGCGACAAGAGGTCCTGGCGGTACTTCTGGAGAGTAAGTACTAATTCGGAGTCAATCCTTTATTTGCATTCTGCACTCTAGCTATAGGCTTTATATATGTACATATTTACTATATACCATCTATCTGGTCCACCCAAACTTTTTTCAACCTGTCGACCCGGAATCTAACTACTTCAAAACTCCTTTTAACCCTCCACTAAAAATTCTTCTCTATTTTCATGTTATCTCAGGTGGAGGGTACAACACATGTTACATATGGGAATATTAAGGTACTTTTCGGATGTTCAAACTATTGATGTCCAGATTATAAATCTTCCATTACAAATCATTGCAGATATTCAAAGATGCTGAGTTCTACTATCTGGACGGATCGGACACGAGTCACGCCAATTGGATGCGATACGTAGCGTCGGCGTACAGCTTGTCTGTGATGAATCTGGTAGCGTGTCAGCATCAGGAGCACATTTACTTCTACACAATTCGTGATATCATGCCTAATGAAGAGCTAATGGTGTGGTATTGCCGTGATTTTGCTAAGAGACTGGGCTACGACGTTGACCCGGAACGCGCGACGTACAGTATATGCAAGGAAGAGACAATGAAAAAGGCGTACGGGATGCAAGCGGCACCCATCCATCCGGAGATTGCCTACAATCACATGAAGTTCGTCATGGGCTTTCACATTCCTCGACGTACCCCCACGCCGAGTCCGTCGCCGCCACCCACCGCCCAGCGTCAGCATCAGACCGTAGTGCATTTAAGGGCGGAGGTGACGACTGCGAGGGAGCAATCGCCACTGAGAGAGGGTTGCAAGGAGAAGGACGCCGAGTCGCCGGTGAGCCAGGTGAGCAAGGACACAACCTATGAACACCAGCTCACGCCGACTGACGGGTCGGTGAGATCGGATGAAGGATACCACAGCAATGGGTATCACGACGATGGATTCACACCACCTGAGGACTCGAGCGATAGCGAGAGTGAGAACAATTACGTGTTAGACTGCTCAAAGAAGACTCATGCTCCGAAGGAGACCACCGTGATCACTCTGAAGGCTGAAGTGGCTGATAAGAATGAATATAGGAAAGTGAAGATGAAAATGCCGCTCAAATATGAGTTTAAAAATAGTAAGAACATCAAATTGGCTGAGGAGAAGGAGACACCCAAGGAAGTGACAGTAGAAAAGATCGCAAGTCCGAAGAGGGTTGTCAGTCCAGCCACCAGTACGGTGATTGTTCTGGACTCCACACCGCATGCCGTTGTACCTATAATGAAGCCCTTTTACGAAGCCGAGACGACTTCGCCACCCCCACCGGCCACGTACATGAGATACACACCACCTAGCTCTAGCATTTTGGAGACTATCCTCACCGGTAGCCGACCGGACGAGGTCAGGCGGCAGCCGAATGCCACCCCACCACCCACCTCGCCCACTGAAATGGCGTACTCGTACAAAAAGTCTCAAAGGTACGGCAACGCCTGCAGTCCAGACTCCAGTTCGAATTTGCAGAGTCCGATCGCAGTTACGCAGATCACGTCTGCAGCACAGACACCTCGATTTACGACGGTAACGCAGAAGGAACCTTCGCCGCAGCCTTCAACGCTGATATATTCGGCGGTTCCCGTTCCAACGACCTGCAATGAAAGCTCTAGGTCCCCGACCTACACCTACGGCATCTACTCGAGCGCGGGAAGTAATGTGATCACGCACACACCGTCGTCCTCGTACTCACCGCACGAGGGTCAGTACGAGAGGTTAGGCAGCCACTCCTTAGCCTCCTCCCCTGGTCTGATCACCCTCCAAAACGGGAATCAGATACAACTGTCCCATCACCTGATGACCCCTCTGACCCCCCTCCAGAGACTATCCCCTCATCGGGTCTCCCCGCCCTGCAGCATAAGTCCCGACGGGATGTCGTGCACTCGAAGCGGCAGTCCTTTGAGTCCCAATTCGGCCGGCTCTCGAGGATACCGCAGCCTCCCTTACCCGCTGAAAAAGAAGGACGGCAAGATGCACTACGAGTGTAACGTGTGCTGTAAAACCTTCGGCCAACTATCAAACCTAAAGGTCCACTTGAGGACACACTCAGGAGAGCGGCCGTTTAAGTGCAACGTGTGCACCAAGTCCTTCACTCAACTTGCCCATCTACAGAAGCATCATCTGGTGCACACTGGTGAGAAGCCCCACCAATGTGATATTTGCAAGAAGCGATTCTCTTCCACGTCGAATCTCAAGACTCACCTGCGCCTGCACAGCGGACAGAAACCCTACGCTTGTGACCTGTGTCCGCAGAAATTCACTCAGTTTGTTCATCTTAAGCTGCACAAGCGACTACACACCAACGATCGGCCGTACGTGTGCCAGGGCTGCGACAAGAAGTACATAAGTGCGTCCGGATTGCGAACGCACTGGAAGACGACGAGCTGCAAGCCCAATAATATCGAGGAAGAGTTAGCACTGGCCGCCGCCGCAACTTCAGAATGTTTCGGTAGGTTTGACATAGAAAGTAATTGAAGATTTAGATCAGATGTCCCTGACTGACACCCTTGATATCTTTGATCTTTCTCATATCTGTGTCCTATTTTTGTGTCAACAGCGGGCGCACCTGAGAAGGATCACGGCGAACCGCTGCAGCATGAGATGTACGAGATGCACCACGTGAGCGGCCATACGCACCTGAGGCACATTGGACAACCGCCGCCCACACTCATCACCATCGCCAGCTCCCCGCACCATCAGAATCCAGCGCAAGTCACGCAGATGCGGAACCACGTGCCCGGACTACAACAGAGCGTTCCGGGGTCACCCGGTTCAAAGATCGTGACCCTCACGAAGGATGGGGCCACGACCATCCAGCAGGGGCCGCATTACAGTCACGCGCAGAACGGAGACTCTAGGCCCAGTGTAATTGAGTCCAGTCAGCCCCTTATCATTGAGTGCACATAGGACAGACTCATCCAAATAGATATCAGTAATTACTAATTAGTCACTGTATTGAATGTGAAGAGCAACTAATTAGGAATATGGATATTCTGACTGATTAGATTAATGCTATGAAGAACATCTTATTGGAGAAAATACTGTAACATAAGACTCATTCACTCTAAACCACTTGACTGATGGTTGGGGTTATGTACATATATTCAATGAAAATTTCATGTATTTAGAACCACAAAATCATCACAATTTCTGGAGCTCAACAAGCTGAGATACTTCTGGAAATGTAGGCTTTTCATTAAGAAAAATGAGACATTTTCTCGAAACATTAGAAAGCTGAATTTGGAGCAAGGTTTTAGAAGGTATCAGGCGCAAGATCAAAAGAAAAGTTTGTATCACAAACTAGATTTGCTGCCTTTGGGAACATTTATTTTCAGAAAAAAGCACAAATAGCAATTTCTGGTGAAGCCTAAACTTCCTGAGTATATCGAAGAGTTGGGGTAACGAAAATAATGTGAATAAATCTGTACTTACCCCTATAAGCACCTATGATAAATGTACTGTAATATCATCCGAAAGTTCCACTGTAATTTCTGTTACATTTGTACACCTCCATGTTTCCTATAATAAAAATGTCCTATAAATCTCACTGGTAGGATTTAGATAAGAGATGTAAATAAATTATGTAGATGAATAGCGTAAAGATCTGAAAATATAGCGCACTGTAAATGTAAAGTGTAATGAAAAATGAATTTCTTCCAAAAAGTAAACAATATTAATACTTTTATTTTATGTTCTATATTTCTTCCACTTGATTTTCTCTTTTACTTTCTGTGTCATTTCTGATGGAGTATTACAAAAAAAACAAATTAAATACTAATTAGTATGTAAGAAGACCCTTTCTATTTATTGAAACTTTACCGTATAGTGTAAACAGAATATATTTATATGCTCTTTGTATTTTTTCATAAGTAAGAATGGATATAAATTAAGTGAACTACTCTATGCATTATGTCATGCATATACACACATAATAATAAACTATTAAAGAAAAATGATAAATGTCATAGAAAGATTTACAATATTTCCACACAAACAATGAAGGAGAGAAGAAATCCTTTTAAGGTAAAGAAGAAAACTATATATAAAAAGAAGTAATATGGAGAAATATAAATAATTACATCAAAAAATTAGCTGAAGATCGGTGCTTAACCTGCAATATTTAGGGTTTTCTATAATATAGTAAATATATTAAATGTAGTATTTAAAGTGGACAAAGATCAATGGCATAAAAGTTGATGGATATTGTGTATAATATAGTTAAAATATGAGAGGAAACTTAATTCAGATGAAACAGATTTTCTATAAATAATTGTATTTCTGTGGCCAAAAACAACAGGTATAAAATTTCTTATACGACATACTTAAATGTAAAATTTATTGTTTCCGTCGTGCTCGTCATCTTTAGGGCCATAGGCAAGAAAATACTGCAATAAAGTGGCAGACTTATACTCGAAATCTAACTAAATTTCTGATGTGCAAATTTATAAAAGAAGAGATTTGACAGCATCTGAAAGTGTCAAAGTATCATGAAATCTTTGCACTTTATTAGTAATTCCTCTGCATGCAAGTCACCAAAATTTTTTCCTCTTATAATTTTAATTTCATCCTCCCTTGAATTGATAAAGACAATAAGTGTTTTCTTCCCACCGATATTTTCTGAATTTCTCCTTGTGTTCGTTTTGAATCCTGACTAAAAGAAGATTAAAAGGAGTTTTTGGCATTAGTCAAGATAAGAGTAGACAATTTTCCTCATTTTAATTGTCATTTGAGGCTATATAAGTGTATATTTATTATTAGTTATCATTTTCTCATTTTTGTAGCATTTTTTTTTGTTTCTACTTTGTTCAAAAGCGAAAACATGTTTATGTAATTAATGATTTCACCAACGAATTTCATTATGTATGTACCGTGTACACAGGAACATATTCTTCTTGACAAAATTCTTTATGAGATAAATGGAATCACAGTTTTCCCCTCCCTCAGATATTCTTTCCCAAAGTATCCCAATCTTGTGTTGCATAAATGTTTTATAGAATTACATTTTAGTATGACAATATTTATACGATTGATGAGAAGGAATAAAATATCAAAGATGTACTGTGTATTGTAATTATTGGAATCATTTATTGTACAAAATGAACTCTAGGATCGCTTTCGCACAATGTATAAAAAAAATATTTTGCTGCTCGATCATTGGAAAAATTATTTTAGGTCGCCTCGTGGGCATGTTTATGCTCGAAATGGAAACATTTAAAAATACTAATTACCGTCCCAAACCGAAATCTGAAACTTCAATACCGTTCAGCATACCTATATTGAACCAAGCTACACAATTTGAGAAAACAGGACGGTTTTCGAAAGGAATGGGTATTTCGAGAATCACAACTAAGGAACACTCTTAAGCAATCCAATACCTTTTTAAAGCCGTATTTGGTAAAAACAATTATAGAAATAGGAGGCAAATCAACGAGAGAAATGCGAAGGTAACGCATCCAAAATTGATGTTTCTCGCAATATATTTTGATTACAATTATTGAATGAGATTCTTCACACAAATTACATCAGGCGCAATTTGTGTTCCTATACTTTATTTACTTCGCAACTGAATATACGTAGTTAGTGAAAATAAAAGACTGGTGCCTTTTGTCCACTACGAAAATATTATTTTGAACTGAATAGCTCTACAAACTTAAACTTACCTATAGCAAGATATTCAATCTATCAAACTATTTATGTGTAAAATAATAATCTTTGTAATATTGTATGTTCCAAAGCAATAATCAATAATAAATCTATCGTGTAAAAGAATAATTTGAAATTTTTGTGTTTTTTCTACCTCCAAATATACGGTGTGAAGTTGAATATGAATGAATATTTTGGCGGAAAGCAACCAAGCGCCACCTGACGGAATTTAAGTTAGATAAGCGGTGTTCATTTCTACATTTTGTTTTGTTATTGTTCAGCAAAAAATGATCTATTCCTGAGAATGCGGACTACACAACACTTTTGATTACATTGGTTCATTACCTGTGAGTATCATTTTATCTTTTATTGTCGCAAAAACTCGCAACGATTCGTTGACTAACCTCAAACCCAGCCATAAATCTTTGGTCCGCCGAGGGTCGATCTCTCTTTAAATATTTATTTGCAACACTGAATAAGAAATGCTTTGAAGCAGAACTGCAAACAATTGTTAAGAATCCACTGAGATATTCTCTGACTCAGGCGTTGTCTCTTTATCGTGGTTCCCAACACTTCCGGACGCCTTGTAGTTGGAATAGAAGTTGTCCAGAATGTATCTCCAGTACCGGCTGCGAATTGTGTCGCACTCCTCAATCATCAGATCGCAGAGACTGGTGACGCGATGGGCGTACTCATCTCTGGTCCCCTCCTTTGTTCGTAAAGCCTTTTCGATGTACATGTCGATCAGAAAGGCCAGGAGATGAGGTGATCTGGATCCGGAGTCGAAAAGCTCTTCGCAGAAGGCCACAACTTCTGGATAGTGGTCAAGAGAGGGATCCTCTGACTGCTGCAGTATGCCGCGTAGGAAGTTCCACGAGCTCTCATTGCCTGTGACCAGACGGATGCGATTCATGGCGTACATAATTTCCCTGGAAATCACATTTGTGTCAAATCCGGTGTGCTTAAGCACGAAAAACCTCTGATTCCACGCTGAATTGTTCCGTACGTCATCCCCCAAGAGTCTATCCACGAAGTTTAGCTCATTGTCGAAGAGTCTGGAAGCAAAAAACCATTAAAATTCAACCGGAGGTCACTTGAGCACTTCGCAATCCCTACCTGTATGTTGATATGACCCACTGGCGGTGCTGCCAAGCATGGTAGTTCTTCGAATCCACACGTAGAATCTTCTCAGTGAGCTCGAGCTCCTTCCCTGGGTCTTGAAGCCACTCCACGATGACCCTTCGATGGTGCCAGACTTGGTAGTTCTTCCCATTCGACTCTATAACGTCTGCCACGTAGTCCAACTCATTAGAGAGGTCAGCATTCAATGCCTTCAGAACATCCCTCCTGCAAAGCAAGACCATCTCTCACAAACTCCCTGCCGAAACACATTTAATTTCAGGATCCTCACCGATATTGCCACACCGTGTAGTTCGCCGGATTGAGCACCAAAGCGTCCTTGGTCAATTCCAGAGCCCTCTCGGACTTCTCTCCGGACGCCACAATAGCCCGGAAGTAGTTGTAAACGTCCTTGACTGGAAAGAGAGGCAGTCATTAATGTCTTTTCACAAGCATGAGACTCTGTCCTGACATTTGTCACTGTAGGCGATCACAACCACCGGATTTTCCCCATCATCCTGCTCGATAGGCACCACGTCTGACCATTCCGGTCGCTCACAGTACATCTGCCACTCTTCCGGCAACTCATCGTCCGAACTTGAATCTCCCATAGCTAAACAATTACTGATGAGCAAGACTTCCTCAATACGCGAAAAGCACCGAATGCCCCCTGACAGCGCAGTCACACAGTGTGTCCCACAAAGAGAGCAAAGAGAGCAATGAGAATTTTGCCCACATTCAAAATCAGCCGGCGCAACCGATACACTGTAAATACACATTGAGTTGGAAATCATGAAGAAATAGTAAAATACATGTTTGCTGTTGTTAAATTAAAAGAAAATTTATTGGCGTAAAATCTACAAGAAATACCTAATCTGTTAAAAATACAGCGCCATTAGATAGTGTCAATATATTCAGTTAGTATTAGAATATATATAATTTAATCTGAAATTCGAAAGACCTAGCAAGATTTTCATGTTATAAATCTCTTTTAACTCCTTTTTTTCAATAAATATAAGTAAAAGGTTGAGAAGAAGTTCCAACGTAAAAAACTACAATTTCGTTTCATATTTTCCCACCTAAACTGTTATTCCTTCCTAAATTCTATCACCTTTTTGGAATTTTTCATCTTTTATAAGTTATGTTCTTGTCGATTGGACCATTCCAATTGCATGTTACACTTTTTACGTGTTCTTTCGTGTTTCACTAGTAATTTTTTTTTAATATTCTTGTGAGATATGACTATAAGTAAAGCACATTTTTAATCATATTATTTTCTCCTTTCTGTTTTTAAAGTTTGCAACATTTCCTCGATATTCCAAGCATTTATTGCTCAAACACATTTTGGTATTAAAAATACTTTATTAGGTTTTTTTTTCCTTAAATGCTAAAGCATTTTTATGTTGCTTGTTAAAAGTATTTTTTTTTTCTTCATTTTTCAATTGGTTTTTATTTTCTTGATAAATATGCATTCTCCCTCAGGGCTATCTAATTCGTGGTGGATTTTTTTTTAGAATTCACTAAGAAATTTTATGTAAGGTTACGCTCAATTGCCTTGATTGAATAAGTATTCTAAGAAAAAAGATAAAACAAATTTGGTTCTGTGGTAAAATCTTTCTTAAGTGTCTGTTTTGATTGAATTTTCGCCGAAATGCAGTTTTATTGATAAATTAAATCTAATAGACATAGGCAATTTAGATAATAAATTTAAAAAATGGTAATCTCTTTTTAATAAATTCAAAAACCTTTGGCAGCCGATGTCGAAAAATTGTCTTGTGTATAGATTTTATCAAGTCGTTCTTTAGTAAAACGTTTTCAAGAGAGTGTCTGAGTATAGATCGTCTTATGCTCTTTCCAAGAAAGCCATTTTAACGTGATTTGAGGGAGGGAAAAGGTTAGGCAAAAAGGAGAAATTATTGACTTGGAGAAGATATATCATTTTGGTCACAATCACGCCATCTTATCCACCTTCTTCGTTTGCTTTTGAACTTTGTGGTGTTGTATTGTCGAGATCACTCGTCAATTCCACATGAATATCCTCGAGATGATCCCCATTTTCACGCACAGAAATACCATTGACGCTGTCTTGGTGTGGACTAAGAGTGGCTCTGACGCTGGCGAAGGCCCGCTCAAAGCCTAGCTTGATGTAGAGACTTTTGGACGCATCATTTTCTGGTCGGATCACAACAAATGGCTTGTATCCGCGCTCCACCACTAGCTTCGTGAGCGCTGCCGCCAAGTGGATTCCGTAGCCTTTGCGCCTGAACTCAGGCCTAGTCTGCATGCTGCACATGGCGCCATAGTACGATTGTACCATCCAGGCAGCCAGCTCGCCCGTGCCCACGCAGAAGATGCCGAATCCTGGCAGAGAATTCACTAGCTTCTCGAATACCTCAATGCACTCAATCTCACTGGCCGGGTACAGATCGTGGATGGCTTTCACGTTTTCCAGCGCAAGAGGACGCATTTCCACTTCACTGGACGGCAAACTGTAGAGGAATAGGCAAAATCATGTGATCACTTGCTGTGTGGAAACAATTTACATGGAATTATCAAGAAGCAATAACCCCTTACAAATCTAACTATACCTAAAACTCTACAAAGATCAATTTTATTTTATTCAGTTCTGTAGACGCAGATTAATGGATAGAAGCTCAATAAGATTTATAATGAAATTATTTAAGTGAATTTTGAAGTGGTATAATAAGCTTGGTCGGTGATCTAACGCAATTACAAAGCTCCAATTGGTGCATAATATTTATATGATTTCCATGAATGCACAGAATACTGAAAATTTCATTTAGAATTCAGAGATGATTGGGGCACAAATTGTCCTCTTCACATCATGTGATAGCTTAGCTATTCCCAATCAATAATAATCGCTCAATTACTGAGCAAGAAGCTTGCTAGATGAGCCACGTTTTACTTATGTTTAAGCTTAGCAGAAGGTCAAATTTATATTTACAACTGAAGATTTGAATAAATTGACCCTGAAATCCATAAAAATTTAAATGACGCACTCTTTTCATAAAGGGTTCCTTTGGTTGCTTCTATTCGAATGAATCTGCTTCGAATCCGTAAATTTATTGTGGAAGAGCAGAAGTGATAAATTTTATAGCTTTGGCACATTGTTGTAATACCTTTCTAATTCGAGACGATCCGGTGGACCTTTGCAGATATAAATATCACCTATGAGCTTATCGATGCTACCTTGCGCTGAATAGAATTCCTCAATGCAATCCATAATGGCAATGTGCGTAAAATTCAGGTACAAAGGCTGTGTCCACTCGATCAGGACATCCTCTGTCCGCAGCAATTCGACATGTTCCAATTGCGAAGAGGGACAAAAGATGCCGAAACTCTCGTACACTCTGTTATTGGGCTGAAAACAAAAGGAGGTGACATTGAATAATTTGATTTATCGGCTATATAGTAAATAACTCACGGTTAGCGTGCATCCTGGAAAATGCAGACATATCGGCTCCGCAGGCCAATTCTTCGACACGTAAAAATAAAATTGCCAAACTCGGTTATTCAGGTACGTCTTCACCGTTTGATGAAACTGTTGCGGGGAGAAAAGAGATTTGGAGTAGAATTTAATTTACTGTATACTTTATTTGTCTTTTAATATGCCTTGTTCACTGGTGTAAAGCTTTTGACCTTACTGACAAAAACCATAAGTTGTATGTGTGGCAGAAAAATAGGAACTTTCTCTTAAGGTGGCAAAAGAAATTCTTTTCGGTGATAGTTTATGCAAATTTTTCATGTTGTATTTTCTCGTAATTGAATTGATTTTCAACCTTGACTTTAAAAAGAAGAAGGAAAAAAAACCTGCAATGTACACGAAATATAGACCCAAATAACACGAAAAATATGCATATTTCTCCCCTAATAGCTTTTCACTTTCATCGTGATTATCATAAAGTTTGAAAGTTTGCCACTTTAACTAGTCGAAAATTTCTAGCAATTCAGCAAATAGTGTTTTCTAACTGTGCCTCTAATTTATTTCGTGAAGCGAGACAAAGCAATCATTTCACATTCTTTAATATTCGAAAGTGTCGAGTGAGGGACAGAAAAAAGCTCAAAAGCACGAAATGCGACATTTTGCCACCCTTAAAGTGCTATTTCACGAGTGGCACTAGCATGAAGGTTAAACATGAGCTGCGTGCTATAAAATATCACCCAAAGTCTGATGATAATAATTTAAATGGAATAATCGTAAAATGGGGCGCATAAAATGTCTATTGAAACACGAAAAGTTTGCACAATTACACAACAAACCTTTAGCGATTCCGGTAAATAGTGTTCCAACACCTCAAGAATTTGGGGAAGCTCATTATCGTGCACTAATCGAAAGTTTTTCCCTTCTGGTATGATTTCCATTTCTGCAATGGTAAAAAAGAAATTGAAAGATTTCGATTTGAGAATGTCTAGAGGGCTTCATTAGTATTAGAAAGTGTTTGTGGGTGTGAATAAATTGCATTTCTAGCAATGTCTCGTTGACATGATTTGTAGCTTTTCTCCATCTGCGTGTTATGCTACTTTATGTATATGTATTGTTGTCGCTTGGCATGCATAAAAGTGTCATGAAGAAGCGGAAAAGCATCTTAAAGTTCAAATAAGGAGTGCAACAGGACGTATTGTCACGTTGAGTTTAATATTTAAACTACACGAAAATTATCTCCAACAATGCAAAGTTTAATGTCTTTTCCACTATTCTTAAATTAACCTGAAAGGAGGAAAAGATACAATTTCGAACATTTGTTCAAGAAAAACTGTTGAGCTTTCAGCAATTGCGAATTCTCTTCGATAATCTCATGTGTTTTATTTAGAATATTGTGGGATATGAAATGGATTTTCTTTAATAGTTTGAATAAATTGTGTTTGTTCATTCATCTTTTTGTTGTTATACCGCAAATTCACTGAGAGACAAGTAAAATCCTTCCCTTGTACTTTTGAGTGATTTTGAAAACGCAAAAGTTCCATAAAAGTCCATAGTAGACCTTAAATTTCACCCTAACCCTTCTTGCTGAATTCCATGTAGCATGTAAGGAGCGTGTGAAGCAGTAAAAATCGATTCTGTATATTTACAGCACATGTAATTATAATAGAAATTGCGAGAGGTGTTTTTGAATAAATGCCGAAGAGAGCGAGAGGCTTTTCGTCCACATATGTAGACTCGCGGGCAGACTTGGATGTCCATGGGAAGGACAAGGTCATCCCGGAGGGCAAATCATATCAATTACAGCCGCACAATCATGGTTTTTGAGACAAAGGACTGAATTCAATCACTCTCAAGTCCCGCAGTACCATGGCAGATTCCCGTGGGATGGGAATTGCGGTTGGCGCTCTTGTTTGAACATCAGAACACGTGATGAGTGTGAAAGTTGGGTCGGCGAACCGGGTGATGGGATGAGAAGGAAAATGGTGTCTGCATTTCCATCGAGAGCACCTTTATCGGGGGATACACGTTTTATCATAACCCTCATCGCTTCTCTATCGCACACTTTCGAGGCTATTTACTTGCGATAAATCATACTCCTCTTGGCATTCCCCTCTCGAAATTATGGACATTTTGCCACGATGATACATGGGCAATATTTTCACCTATCTCCGAATTTCTATGCGGCGGAAGAAATCAATCGAGACGCTGCCTCGTCGAATGTGAAGCGGAGAGATGATTTTTTTTATTTGAATTCCTCCTTTTGACGGTGCATTAGCTACAATCTCAGTGAGTTGGACGAAAGGGAGAGGTTTTGGTTTCTGGCGAAAATGGGTGGGAAAACAAAACTGTCGAGGAAGGGAAATCATACAGAAATGCTCGTTTGGCTTGAGCTTTTTGGGCGCACAATTCGATTTACTCTCTCTCTTATTGAACAAACTTTGCGTTTACATTGGATATTTATTGCGTTCTCCTTCCTGGCTTTTCTTCTCGCGCGCGCTGGGATTAGAAACATCCCGATTGTGAGGGAATTTTCGGTGGACAGATTTGAGGTGATTTAATTTGCCAGATGTGCCAAGCATAGACTATAATATTAGCTTATTAATAAGATGTGGTTTAGCTATATTTATACATATGAACATATGTATGTAAGAGAGGGAGAGGCAAATTACGTTTGAACCGTTTGAACTGGAGAGACAGATTGGTGACAATGCCGAGGAAGATGGATACAAAATGTTGTCAAAATGAAACATATCTCTGTTTCTCCCACAAAATAATAATTTGTTTCAATGCGATGAAAATCAGCTGATAAATTTAATGGCCACTCTATGGACCATTAAATCGCTGAACATAACATAAAATTTGTATTTTAGTCGTCAATTGCTTGTGTCCATAATTTTGGACCGTTTCTGATAGACAGAGTTTATTGGTTATCACTTTTGAAGCCATATTATGACATAAAGTGTAATTTTATTTTCACGTTAGGTGCACAAAGTGTAGAAATAAGGGCATTTTCAGGGGGCAAAAGTACTTACATTTATATTCACAACACTACACAAAAGAATTTCTACAGGAACGCAAGTTGAGTGTGAAAAAACAGAATCGTAGATTTTCCCTCTTGATTACAAACACACGCTCTTAAGAAAAATTAGGATTTATACAAAAGAACTTCTTATTTTCTCAAATCACAGCTCGCTTATTAATTTCACTTGTGAATATTACTTTATACTTTTATTTACAATCTCATTATAGCAAGTTTTATTAACAAATTCTTGATTTCTTTATGCTTAGTTTAGTAAGTTTTGTATTGGAAAATATAATTCTTCTTATGTCCCTTGATTTTTTTTCCTCTTTCTTCTCAATTTCGCCTATGATAATGTGATTCGCTTTGCAATGTCACTGTACCGGGGGTAGGCCTTCAGGAGGCGACGGGAGCTTTTCACAAATATTCAATTCGTGGCTATGCCTTATCCTTGCTGTTGAGGGCTTGTTGTTGGGTTGGGCGACTTGTGAAATTTCACCCCCAGAACACCTCCAATGGCCCCGGCCCCTTGCAAATTCTCCCTATTCACTTTTTTTCACCTAAACCCTAGCCCCAATTCACACTCTGTTCCCAGTTGATGGGGTTTTTGGGGCACGGCCTGAAGAGCAGACGATTTTCGGTCTCTTTTTTCACGGGATATGAGAAACGCCCCGGACTTTTGCTAAGTCGATTTGCGATGGACTTGCTTTGTGAACTGAGGACTATGGATTCCTCAGGACAGAGCAGAGAACTGGTGAGAACACTGAGAGACTTCGAGACGGGACACGGGCGCGGTATTGATCTGAGGAGCGACCGTGCGAACTGATGTTCGATGCCGTTGACTGGAAGCCTTCTGGCTGGCGGATAAGAGGGATGCGATGTGCGCCTGTGTTTGTGTACACTGCAGCGAGGGGTGAAATTTTGCCATATTTTCAGTTTGGGGTGAATTCCTGGTCACACGAGCCGCGTTGCCAAATTTTATCCATCTCGCCAATTTGTGAGTCTATCCGTCACGAATCAAGCACCGAACACTTTGCACACCTCGATATTGGGGGGATTTTGGGAAATTTTCCACTTGGATGTGGAAATCAGAGAGACTTTCTGTGGTGGAAATCGTCCAATGTGGTGATTGGTGAAAAGGGCGAAGGGGAAGGCTAAGAACTCGGCAGAGTGCTGCAAAATAATTTTTATTTATTACTATTTCTTGAATATGCATTACAATATTTGCTTTTGAGATGATTGAATTGTGAAATTATGATTTAAACAAGTCAGGAATTTTCAAAATTCTTCGACTCATTTCTATAATAAATCATTAATTGCACTGCTGCCCAACCCTTTAACGCTCTTTTTCGAGCTTGAATCTCTGAAATCCACGAGTGAGCTTCCAAAATGCGCATAACATAGTCACATGGTCGATGTGGGTGTGAGGAAGAAAGGAGCGTCGCGACGCTGGTATGATTGTGAATGTTGTGAATATATGGTGAAATATTTACCGACGGTGCGCGCCTGCGTCGATATTGTCATGATTTCATTTACCAACTTCACCACACATGCAGAAATATTTCCACAACAGGTCCGTCTCTCATTTGTACACTGGGAGGCATTAGAGCCTGGCATCCTGCCCACTGAGAGCTTCTCAAGGCGACACGAAAACAGGAATGGGAGTTTTCTTCATTAAGGAAAACAGTATGAACCACCCAACATCCTGGTGATTTTTTCTCCTCCAGTAGCTAGAAAAGAAAGAAATTGTCTGGCCCTGAAGCGTCTCTTCCACGTCAAATTGGCCCAATTGTGTTATTCGCCTCGTGCATTCAGAAAAGGTTCCTACTTTTGCACCGAAAGCTTTCTAAATTTGCATGCTGGAACTTTATAAATTCATTAGAAACATCTAGTCCTTTCACTCCTTGTTCTGGTCACTATTTCTAAATAAGCGACTATATATTTGTAGATCTTGCAGACTAAATGACGCCGGTAATTATATAGATTTTTCTGTTCTCTGAAAGATATCCTTTCAGCACGCAGACAAGCCAGCTGCTAAACTCACTATAGGTGAAGTATATGTGAAGAGTTAAGCTGTGTACATTTGCTTTTCGAAAACATTAATTTGCAAGGCTAATTTAAACTCTTGAAAATATACAAAAATTATAGAGCCAATTCAAGTGGCATCACTACAACATTTTCCAAGTTTACCATTCTTAAAATTCTAAGCAGGACTCAAGCACTGTGCAAATCCCTTTTGCTTTGCACTGTAAATCCCGAGAGAAAGCCAGTGGGCAGTGTGTGGGCCTCGCAATAGGAAAAAAAAATCAGCGTCATGAAAGAGTTTGAATTTGAAGGTCAGAGTAATTTTGTGAAATTAAGAAAAATCAATGCATTTGCAGCGCTCTACTTTGGCCACTGTCGGCTCTCGCTCGCAATCACAATCACACGGTGGTATTTCCTCATGAACACATTCATTCAATTACATACATGGGTCATGCCACAGAAGTTATGCATGTACAGAATCCTCAATGACTAATTGTGCAGAGGAAGTTTTCCACCTGAAAATGAATATTTAATTGGCAATGCAGGTGAAAAAGTGCCCCGATGTCTCGCCGCCGGCTGGGCCACGAGTACCGGCGAGTGCCTCGCGAGGAGGACACTTCGCGAGATGCTGTCGATGGCTTCACGGAGGCGCAATTTGTAATGCCACCACCGAAAATTCCCTGGAAAGCCATAATTTTCTCCACTTTCCTGTGCATTACCGGAGCGGTGAGTTTGATTTACGAGTTGAGGTCAAATGCATAACTGATGCGCACTTCCTTTGTGTCCTAAGATATCCCTGGCCTTTGGTTTCCTGATCGCCATCGGGCAGATTCACGAAAAGTACCTCGACCGTCAGCTACCGCTCTTCATTCTCGGGTCGATCATGTTCATTCCCGGCTCTTATCACGTAGTTGTGGCGTTCAGAGCGTTTAGGAATCATCCAGGCTATTCCTTCGAGGATATCCCCGACTTTGACTGATAGCCATCATTTCAGATTTTTCGACAACAAAGTATTTTTGAAATAAAATATAAAATTTTAGTCAAAAGTTATGGAATCTCTTTGAAATCAAACACGTTGACTTTCATCTCATCTCGACTCACAACGAGTATGGAAATACAAGGAGGAACAACTTGTGGGAATGGGTGAGGCACGCAAGTAGGCGTGGCCTCTAGCATATTTGTATACTATAACGATTAAAAAAGAATCTACTAAGTTTTTTTGTAGCAAAATTTCTCTGAAATTTTCTTCATGCATGTTTTTCTTATGGCTTGAGAAAAAAATGCTTTAATTTTGCCTTTCAATCTTATCATATTTAATTGATATCGCATGATATGCCACACCCTGTAATTTTTTTCATTGTCAACAACTTGAAATAGTCAAAACCTGACTCTTGAAAGCACATGTAAAGTATGTTTATATACAATTCTTGCAGAAAACCAAACAGCAAAGGTAATTCTTTTTGATTTCTCGTTCCAAAATCACAATGTCAAGCAAGTCATTAAAGATCCTATTTGCTCAATCAATGAAAAAATTTCACTCAAGCTAATTTTTAGTGTCTTTGGGATAATTTTTATACAAATTTCAAATGAAAATCAGGTATGAAAAGACACTGTTTTATGGCACAAAAAAACCACCCAATGGGAGTTACTTCTCCTTTTTGCCTTTGGAGGTCTTTCTCGGTTTTGCTACAGAGTTACTGGCATTGTTGCTGCGCCGCAGAACAACTCCGATAATTGCTGCAGGAATGGCGAGGATGAGGAGGCAGCCAGCGGCGATGCACAGGGTCACGTCCACCAAGTGTAGCTGCCAAGTGGCCAGGTCGAGGGCTGTGGGTCGCAAATGACGGGCGCCACGAGTTCTCAGCACCATTTCAATGTTATGCACAGCTTTCTCGTCGATGGGCGTCAGATTTTCCCTCAGAAGTCCCGCTACGCGATCCGCATTCAATCTGTATGTGTCATTCTTGAGCATGTCCTCAACAGCTTCCCGAATAGACTCTTCAGTGAGAGTGTCATAGTTCAAAGATCGCGCAAAACCAGCCTCCACCGCCAAGCGGATGTTGTGGTGCTGATCAGCGTGCAGCGGAAGTCCCAGAATGGGTGTTCCCGAGAGGACAGCCTCGTAAATGCCCAGCAATCCTCCGCTGGTGATAAACAGCTTGGTATTGGCTTGCGACAGTAAGTCCATTTGAGGCATCCATGGCCCGACTATCACATTATCCGCCTGACCAGACATCTGTGCTTCCTCCCATTTCCAGAAAATACCAACTTCCGGCATAGCTTGGAATACCCGATTGAAGGCATCGCGCTTGTCTTTCGGCATGTCTGCACTTCTGACGTGGGCGCCCAAACTGAGCACAACGACTCCTCCGATGGCCCGCGAAAAGAAGTTCTCAACATCCAAAGGCAGTTTCTTAGGTGGCCGCATGTGAATCCCACCAATCTCCACGACGCTGGGCATCAGCGCGCGCGGATAGTGGAAGCCCGGGTGAGAATTCACGAGGATGCAGCTCACGTTGTGGATGAGCTCCTCAAGCGGAGGCAGTTTGTCGCCCCGAGACTGCAGCGGAGCGAAGAAGCGCTGATAGAGCACCTCCTGAGCCGGTAAGTACATGTATCTGTAACAATGTTCAAAATTATTGGCATCATTTTTTTTCAATGTATGGCAAAACAATGACTATTTCTTTTCAAATGTATAACTACTTATTTAACTATATGTTCTTAGAACCTTGACTTTTTCTTGACCTTCTTTTTGAAATCGATTGTTCTTCGAAAAATCTAAATCCGCAGTGTAATTCAATTACTCCACATCACATCTCTTCCCATTACCGTGGTGAATTACTGAACTTTGCCCGAAAAGTCAACTGATTGTGACGAAATTTTTCATTTAGCCCAATCACACTTACTGGTAACTAATCTCCACGAAAACGGCCAGCAGGGAGTTCACGATTCGCTCGGGCAGCGACATTTTGTTGGACAATGCTAAGAAAATGTTGGGGTTGTGAGCAGGATTGTGTGGATTGCCGACCATTTCGTCAGTCCATTTGCTACTGGCTGAGGCCGAGATTACGACCGAAGGCACTCTGTAATGGTGCGCCAGGCCCAGAAGTGCATCCATCATGTAAGAATCCACGAGCAGGAGATCGAAGGACGCCTCAGAGCGTATCAATTTCTGTACTTCCGCGTGACTGAGAGTGAAGTTGGCAAACTCAGCGGATCCGTAGATGGCTTGTGTAATGCCCTCGAGAACGGACAGGGATTCGTGCATCTCCGTAAGACGCTCTTCTGTCCAAAAGAACTCCTTAGCACCGTGCAGATAAACCTCCTGGACATTGTCGCGCTGCTCACGCAAGCGGAAAGGCGTCAGGAAGGTAATCTGAGAATAGGCAGAGTGTGTAAGCAGGTGAAAGAGGCTGTAGTGAAGGTTTTTACCTGATGACCACGACTTTCCAGTGCCCGGACGAGTGTGTGGCCGAGAATGAAGTGCGCCTGGCTGGGAATGGGGAAGACGGCAAGAATCCGCTCGCACTGCAGGACATCTGCAGCGTTCAGGAAGTAAAAGAGGAAAACTAGTATTGCCTTAAACAGCATAATTGCGTGGGCGAGTGTCTCCTGGACTGATTGACGTGGAGGCCGGAGAAGGCAGCGTCGTTATCGATGATTGTGATAAGATGTAGTGCCACATGGAGCTCTACGATATGCCTCGCCAGTATATCTGCGCATCACACGTCCCTTCACTTGCCATCACCATCATTCACCGCGACAAATTGAATCCTTTTCACTCCCGGAGATTGTAAACAAGCAGCAACAGTACATGTAAACACACGAGAATGAAACGTCAAAAGACGGACTTTCCCGGCTGAGCAGCTGCAAGCGAATGGCGACGAGATGTGCTATTCGACCGTATTCGACGGCGGTTTCACCAACATAATCGCGTTCTAAATTTGTTCTAGGATTGCAGCTTGTCAGCCGGGCACAGTGCTGGGGCATCACGCGCAGAACATCGCTGGCGAGTAGAACAAAATTGCAAGTGACGCCGGAAAATCGCTTTTCCTCAGCATTTCTGTGAGAAATCCTGCCCAAAAGTCGTCCAAGATGAACAAGCTGGTTACTAAAGATGCAGGTGAGCACTTATTTGACTGTTTGTTGTGAAAAATAATGGCTTTCGCTGTTTATTCGACTGCGTCCTGATTGCTCGTAATCCATGCAAATTACATCGATTAATCCGGATTATATAACGCTTTCCAGAGAACCGAGTGGAGCTCGACAAGCCTCTGTGGGATCAGACGACGTTCCTGGGCAGATTCAAGCATTTCGCCTGGATCACAGACTCACGGACGTGTTTGACGTCAACGGCGGAACTGAACAAGGCGAAAGCCTTGATTGAGGATTACAGGTGTGAAAATTAATTTTGCCCCCTTTCAAAATTGGGCCTCCAAATCCCCAAGAGGCGTTTAAGTGCGCTCAAGCACATCACGAGGAAGACGCGCGAGAAGGCTAAATTTAAATCAGCCGAACAAGACAGTATTGACTCATAACGAGATGCTGAACATTCCAAAGTTGAGAGCGAAATTGTCTGTTTCAGGGCTGGAAAGGAGCCAAAGGGCACCACGCGGGAAGAGGTGATCTACGCCAGGAAGCTGTACGAGAGCGCCTTCCATCCAGACTCTGGAGAGCTGCAGAATGTCTTTGGGCGGATGAGCTTCCAGGTTCCGGGGGGAATGCTTCTCACTGGTGCCATGCTTACGTTTTATCGGTGAGTGAGAATCTCAGCAATTTCAGCTTTATTTGGATTTTGCACTCTTCATCTCAAGTCATGCACAAAGGCGTGAAGATAATGGAAACTGATAGAGATTGCAAACATTTTGCGGTCACAATGATTAGAATATTGCTTCACTTCTTTCTAAAGATTATATCACTCGTGCTGTATTTGTATAATTCACCACTCAAGTCAGTTCTCTTATTTTTATAAAATGCCAGATTATATTCATTGAAGAAGGAAGCGATATTTGTCTCTTTTGAATATTTTGTGTTCATATATGATTGATAAACTATTGAATGGAATTTATTGCTATTTTAGAGTTTATATTTTTCGAGTAATCAATCAATATTCTTGCAACTACTTGCAGCACAACATCAGCTGTTGTCTTCTGGCAGTGGGCCAACCAATCGTTCAATGCCCTGGTCAATTACACCAATCGCAACGCCAACTCGCCGATGACGGTGAACCAGATGCTGCTGGCCTACGTCACTGCTACCACGAGCGCCCTGGTCACTGCGATCGGATGCAAGAGCGTCTGGCAGAAGAGTGCCGGGCCCTTTATTCAGCGCTACGTGCCCTTCGCCGCCGTGGCGGCCGCGAATTGCGTGAACATCCCGCTCATGAGGCAGAACGAACTTCTGCGGGGCATCGAAGTGAGCGATGAGAATGGAAATGTCGTGGGCAGAAGTCGCGTGGCGGCGGTAAAAGGAATTTCCCAGGTTGTCCTGTCGAGGATCACAATGGCTGCGCCGGGAATGCTGATCTTGCCAGTGATCATGGAGCAACTGGAGAAGATGCCGTGGTTCAAGCGAATGCATATTCTGCACGCGCCATTCCAGACCATCGCCGTGGGCTGCTTCTTGTCCTTCATGGTGCCCACGGCGTGTGCCCTGTTTCCTCAGCAATGGTGAGTACTTATGCAATTTATTTTTAAAGATTTACCAACCTTTCATAAACTATCTGTGCTGTCTTTTCCACTGCAGTTCACTGAAAGTGAGCACAATTGAGCGATTTGAGGATGATTTGTATCAAGACATAAAAGCAAACACCAAAGGAAAGACACCGCAAATTGTGTACTTCAACAAAGGACTGTAGATTAACATTCTTCAGGCTGCAATAAGCTAAGATATTTCGAGGCGACAATAATAATCAATTACAAGAATAACGCGCAGTTCACAAATATATTACTTAATAATATTGCAAATTTTTTAAAGCAATAAGTCAATTTGTTTACTTTAAAATACTTGTGACGTGAAAGACTTTTATTTGTGATAATCAAACTGCTCGTTTAACTCATCATAGATTGAATTCTTTTTTGGATTAGCATTAAGACAGAAAACAGTGTGAACTTTGGCGATCACACATTAAATTTTACTATTTGTTCTTTTTATTGACTAACAACTCATTTCATCGATCTGAATGGTTTCAATTGGATTTCATGATTCTTTGATGAGTGAAGGTTTTGAATGTAAGCTTTGTCTTTTAACACAAATTTGACTGCGGAATTCACAATTCCGCACAAAAGGAAGAAATTTTGAAAATCGTACTTAAGGACAAAATATCAACTGGCTATGACGGGTTGAGTTGATATCATATAATTTGCATCAAGTCCAAAACGAAAAAAATAAAATCAGCACAATGATATTAACTTTTGTAAAAATTTTACTTTATTCCTCTACAAAATAATTTTATTTTCTTTATAATTAGACATACAAAGACATTAGGCTATGTTGAGACTTTTTCTTTTGAATATATTTTATGTTGCGTAGTACAAAAGTTTTGTGTAAGAACGAGAATAAAGTTAGACAAAAAGTCACCAGTAAATAATTTAAGCGCCCACAATGATCAGGACTTGGCGAAGTTGTGCAGAAGCGCCGCGGCCTCGCTCATGATTTTCGCGCTGGAGCGCACGAGGAACATGAGGTGGCACTCGTCGTACACGGTGAGCTCCACTCGCGTCCTGACCAGGCCGTGCAGGACAGTGGCGCGCTCCAAGTCTAGCCAGCGCTGAAGCGCCAATTCACGCTCGCGCGGTGTTCCTGCCAGCGTGACGTCAGAGGGGCCCCACAGTGCGAACTCGAGAATGGACTTGGCTTTGGAGAGCGACTCCGAGCGCTCCTGGCCCAGGATGTCCGTGAGAATGGGTGTCAACTTCGTGGCGGGTAGCATTTGTGCGAGGGCCACTTGAGCGCATTGGCAGAGTGTTCCCATGGCTTCGTCATCGTCCCGTGTGGTGTCCGAGGAGAGACTGCAAGAGAGGAGAACAGGGAGTGGTGAGATTCTTCTGAATCCTGTATGCAGCGTCCGGATTTCTCACCTCTGGAGAACGCAGAGTCTAGCTTGGGCTTCCTTGTTGTCCACTTCCTTGCAAAGGATCACGTTGGAGAGCGTGAGTGGCATTTCCTCGATGGCCTTCGCCTGAAGATTCTTCAGACCATTGATGAGCTGCAGCATCACGAAGCCCACTTCACGACACAGAATCTCATCTGTGGTGTTGCATAATCCCGTGGGATTCGGCGTGAGTGCACTCACAATGGAGTCCAATTCGTTATCTTCGGCCTCATCCTCATTTAGCACCGACAAATTCTGCACAGAACCGCGCGCATGCATTGGCGCAGAGTCCTTGGCGGTGGAGAGATTGGGAATTGAGCCGAAAGTGACACGGGAGGTCTTTTGAGACTCCACCTTAGACTTGAGGATTGAGCCGAGAGACATCAGGGTGTCCACAAGCATCCGAGGAAGGACGGAGATTGAAGCTGCACAATTGAATGGCGTATTACATTATCATGTTCACAGGTGGAAGTCTAAATTCGGATTTATACTACCTTGCACCAGGCGCACTTGAATGCTGGGCATCAGCGGCAGGAAGTTGCTGGGAACGAGGTCGCAGAACTCAGTGATGGGATTGAGAGCACCGCTGGCAGCTCCGGAGAGTTGCTTTAGTTCTCCCGCCACGCCGGACATCTGATTGCAGTCCGCGGTGAGGGCGAGCGTTACTGGCGTCTGATTGGGGGCCCACATGGCGGCGTGGAAGGCCCGGCGACCGATCACAACAGCTCGTCCACCCTCGACGATGGAGAATTCGTCGAAGCGCAAGTTCATGGAGTTGGCCAACGGTCGCAGAATCATGGGAATCGGAGGCGACTGTTGCAGCTGCAATGGAAGAGTTCAAATGTGTATATAGCGATAATATATTCTTCTAAAATCTTGCAAAGCTCTATGTGAAATTCCATTGAAGACTTTTCACCGAAGTTGTGTGTCTTCAAGCAATTATGATGGTTGAAACTTTTAAAATGCAATACTTATGAGCAATGTTCACGAAGGGATCTGAAGAATTCACATTCATTTGAGAAACACAGAGAGAAAAGTTGAGATAAGAAATCTCAATTCCTAATCTACCAAATTCACATGAAGTTTTCAATGATAAAATGCAATAAATGAAAACCTCATGTATGCTTCTCTATAGCGCATACTTAATTGTGAGTCTTCATGGAAATGTTGCTCTGCAAATTGGCGCGATTCCACGGCATGGATTCCCTTTCATTACATTATCATTTTTATGTTGTTCGTCTGAAGGCATAATAAAAAATAGACACAAGAGAGGGCAAGTGCTTGGAAAAATGCTCACAAGACAACTCGCAGTGAATTTCACGCATGCATTCCGCGACTAGGGCCACACAAATAAGATTCCTCATTGTTATCACACACGGCTCTCAGGCCGATGGTGAGTGAGGAAACGGCAAGAAATCCGGCAGTTTGTAATTCAAATCGACACGAGATGACGCGCGGTGACGAAGGAAATGAGCACAAGAAGCCATTCGGTGGGAATTTTCTCAGTCGATTAAAATAATTGCACGGCAGTGTCTAATGAATGGGAGGAGTGTTGCGGGGGGCTTTTTGGAAAACCATGTCAAGTTGAGAAAAATATGGTAATTGAATTGGATCGAGGGGCGGACAGAGAGCATTCGACGGCCTGACATTGGCTCTCGGATCACATTTTCCAGCTTGTTTTCTTTGTTTATTCTTGGTCAGTCATCAAAGTAGATCGGAAATTGCAGGGTTGAAAATATGAACTTAATTATAAAGCCCCTTCAGAATACAATATTTCCCGAGCATAGTAAAAGATTAATTAATAATACAGAACGTCTTGCTCTTCAAGTGCGTGTAATATCATATCAAGCACTTGAGCACTGTCGATGTGACTTTGAGTCGTTCATTGCACTTTTTGATCGCGAGCATGCGTTTTGATGGTTTTGATTGTCGAAAACATAATCTATCAATATATCACTGTGTTCATTTTTTCAACAAGAGAAATCATGTTAACTATATCCATACACAAGAAGCGGTGGCGAATTATGTGGAAAATTTTCTCCACTCCAGGGAAGACGGGTGGAAAAATTTTCATGTTCACCAGTGTCTTCAGCATAGCATAAAAAAGTAAACCATCAGTCTGTTTTTCTTCATGATTCGCAATTGGCCAGAACAGAGCAATAAACTGTGAATGCGATGGTGAGGAGCATAAGTGAATTCATACTTGAGGAGATAATATTTCGCTCTAGTGAAAGTTTTAATGAATTTCCCCCCTTTCCATCGTTTCTTTGATTAAATTAAATTACAAAATCGCACCAATTTCATTTCCCTGAAGTGTAAAGCGCGCGCGGAAGGAATGGCAGACATTCGATATCAACGCATTGCCCCCTAATTAATGAACAACATTCCGGGCCGAGAGTTGCACGGATGATTACCTGTTTTGTAGCCACAATGTTAAGATCACGATTTGGCCTTTGGGACTCTCTTCGGCGCCCGGTCAGCCGTTGACTCCACGCCCAGACCTTGACCCAAACGCGACTCTATTGATCGGTCATCAATCAAAAGCCCCATAATCCGCCACTTGCCTCACATGAAAATCGAACCCATTTCGTCGTAACAATGCAAGAGCACAAATTCCTTCCCACAATTTGTGTGGCCCACATAAAGCCGCTGAGTGAAAAGGTGAGATGGCAAAAAGATGAGTTTCTCCACATTACAATTTTCATGCAGATGCGAGATGGCAACAAAAACGACCGATTCATCTGTAAATTATCTACATATTAAATTATTGCTGGCAGATGAAAAGTTTGCAGAAACAATATTGCGAAAAGAGAATCTGTCGATTTTCATTTTCATACGGCTTTGCGCGTGGAAAAGCGGCGCGATTGAATGCAATTGAATTTTACTTTCTCACATTGTGCCGTGACTCTTTCTTCTTTCACGATAGTTGCCTTACCTGATCGAGAACCTGAGCCAGGGCCTCGTGATTGGCCACCACAACGGCCCCATAGTTGTCCTCCAGGTTCTTGTGCACCACACTTCGACCCTTCCTCATCCTCAGCCGATTTGTGGTCTTCATTTGGCGCGACTTTGCATTCTGCAATGAACAGAGTTACCAATCACCACTTCAATCTATTTTATATGCATTTTATTTGATGCTGAGAATGCAGAAAAATTAGATCTCGAACTGTTTTGCAACATTCCTGCCAGTGTGATAGAATTGCAATAAAAATCTCTATTTTATTAGCATATCTTGAAAATTTTATCGCCAAACAAGTTTAACACTTGAAGCTTTTTTTTCTTTCATAAAAATACTGATCCTTTGCTTTTCCCTCGAAAACAATGGCACAAATTTGCCCACTTTCATAGAAATATTCATAACTTTCTCGATGCAATAATTGAAAACTTACCATTTGGCCAGACCATCCGTCTTGGGGATCGCCCATGGCCACATCTCCTCCGGCCTCGCTTCCGCCACAGAAGCTGTACGGCGAGTAAATCTCGGATTCGCCCATTTCAGATCCGCAATATGACATGGACACTGTCCTGGGCAGATTGGCTGCAAAGAGAGAATTGTGAATTAGAGGAAATTCATTCTTTGCTCGTCAATAGTAAATTGCTGAGGGAATTTACGATGCTGTTGGCATCTCGATTAGCTTGCAATGTAATCAACATTCTCTCTTCTCTCCATAATCACTCAACATGGCTTTTTTTCTGCCAACCGCTCGCGAGCGCATCTCATTTCCTGTTTCCAGGGTTGGCATTTGGATTGCACATGAGATTTTCTCGAGAAAATGCTCACAGACTGCGGTCTGGAGTCAATTTGCCATGCAGAAATTGGCAATTTCACTTACCTAAACTGTTGCTCGTGTGGAATTTCTGCGGTGCATCGAGACTCAAGCGGTAAGAGGCTACAGAGCCGCCGTAGATTGAAGTGCGCTCATCGCAAATAGCCGGAAGACTCACGCGGTCCTGCTTAACCATGATTGGTTCGTAGGTGCGCAACTCGATGTCACTGCTGCGAATCTCAACGGTTGTCTTCGCCGGATGTTTGTCACTACTGAAGATGGACGGATTTTCCGCTATATTGCCGTCGGACAGACTCATGCGATCCTGAAGCATGGATTAATTAGATTATAAATCAATACATTGATCGTCTGTTGAAATACCTGTGAAACTCACCTTCAAATAGCTGTCGATGGTGTTGGACATCTTCTGCACAGAGCTCTTGATATCGAGAGTCTTGGGCCTCGCATCGCTGATGGTCCTCTCGAACATCTCCACCTTGCTTGAGATGTTGTGCTGATCGTCCAGCAGTCGCCGCTTCCGCTCGTTCATCTCACCCGGACTTGCAGAAGGCTGACTGCGGGCAGTTTCACTATTGTGTTCACTCTCCGCAACCTCTTTCACTTTTGCTTTATCTTCCACGCTCTCCAACTCGCCGCTCTTGCCCGGCTTCCCGTCTGTCGATGCTTCGGAAGCGTCACTAACGGATCGCGAAAGATTCGTGTTCTGCGTCTCGCGGGACACGCTCGACGAGGACACATCGGAAGCCGTGTCCGAGTAATCTTGGAGCTTTCGGGGTCGTCTTCTGGCCAATTCCAATTGTGCTTCTCTCTCTCGCATGCTGGCAGTGCGTTCGGGCTTCCGGGGTGCGATAGAAGAGCGCACTTCACCCAAATTGGCATAAACAGTGTCCCCGCGCTGTTTAACGCTGTCTGTCTTGTCCTACAATTGGAGACATCATCAACAAATTAGGCGAAAGTCCTTCCGATCTTCAAATTAACTACCTGGACAATGTGAGATCAGAACTTACCCCATTAATCTTCTCCATGGCCTCCAGTTGTTGCTGTTTTCGTCTCAATTCTGCGCTCTTGGGTGGCGGCGGTCTGGCCGGCTTGCTGACTTCCATGATCCTCTGCGGCGGCGCTGGCGGCTTTCCGGTCACAACGCCGGGCTTGGGCTCGTCTCGCACTCCCATCTTTGATGTGTCTTTCACCTTTGCATAGAAGAAGAAGATTTATTGAGATCTGCAACTCATCTTATATGATTAATAACCGTTAGTCACGATTAAGAGGTCAAAGTCTTAGGTCGTTAACTGATTGAGATTCGGTTGTACAAGGTTGAACTGTTTCACCATCTGTGTTCATATCGATAAATCATCAAATATGACTGGTGAAGAGTTTTCCAATCACCCTATATTTGTGCTCGACAAGAGCTCTGAGATCACTTGCCCCCCATTGAAATGTTTCAGCAACTCTTTCAGTTCGATTTTGCTCATCCTTGACTCAAATGAAATGGCAAGTGACTGGTCGGAAGCATCTGAATCATCACTATCGGGAATTTAATTAACTTGTTGTGACTACATCGTTAAGTATTCAAAGTTTGTCGTAGAAATTTGCTAATCTGTCACCTTTAATGAATTTCATCACTCAAAAAACCAGGCAAAAGTAAAAGCTTGATAATTTTGCAAGTCTAATTATCATCAATCACAAAGTTATATGCAAAAATTTCACTCTCACGCCATCGACTTTGGGACGGGCTCTTATCAAGAGCAAAAGGAAAGTTTGAGACTCACCACTTCCACTCCGGAGGTGTTGATGTCAATGGGATGAATGATAACCAGCCTGGGTTTGGCTTGCATGGCCGTGCCGGGAAGTTCCTCGTAGATTCCCCTCTTGCCAGCGTCCTCCATTGTTTTGCTGGAGCCCATTCTCAGGAACTTTCTGATGCTGAACTTTGCCTTCTTGGGCTTTTCCATCAACAGATTGTCCTGGGACAGGGACAAGCTCTTCCTGGGCGCAGGCTCGGGTGTGCTTGGCCTCGCCTTTTCATAATAATTGTGGGAATTGAGAGAATTCAAGCTGCGGAATTTGGGATTTATCGTGGCACGTTCACGCTTGTCCTTCTCCCGGACAACAGGACTTGAGGACTTCACAATTGCCGTAGGATTCCTCGTGTATAGCGTTGGCGATTGCTCCAGAGGCAGAATTTTCGAATCTTCAACCTTTGGCTCCGGAATGTCCTTCTTGGGCGTCATCTTTGTGATCCTGGCGCCGTCCTTCTTTACTTCATCAGGAGACGGTGGCGGATTGGGAGCTCGACCCTTCTTAGACGCCTTGCTAGGATCATTGCTGTCCTGCTTGGCCGTGGCTTTCTCGTCCGGTGATTTGATCATTGATTGTAGTTGCAAGATGACTTGCTGCTGCGCCACGCTGCCTTGAGGCTTTTTCGTGAAAGTCTTCACAATATTGACAGCCGGTTTGCTAGGCACCTTCGGCTTCTCCATGGCCAAGTGCTTCTGCAGACTGTGCAAGAACAGTGACCGAGGCTCCACATTTGGCGGAGGTGAAGTTGGCAGTGCAGGAGCTTCTCCGTTCACGTCTGGATCTGAACTCCCATCTGGTTCTCCGGCCAATTCACGACTTTTCTCCACGCTAAAGATGTCATCTCGTCCCTGCACCTCAATTACCTCATAATCCGTCGACGAAGCTGTCGTAGTGGTGGCCAGAGAAGTTGTTGGCACTGTCTGAGTTTCCATTCGAGACTCCGCCTCGACATTCTGGTACTCATTGGCCACGATTCCACTATCAGATTCACTGCGATTGATTGAGGACATTTCCTCGTCACTGCTGCTGTCGAAACTCGATCCTGTTGAATCCATGGCATCCTCAGAAGACGTCTTAGTCACAATTAGGCCATCTGAGGTGATTTTGCCGGTTATGAAACTGCCATCCTGAAGATCATACATTTCAGAACGCTTCTTGAGGTGCTGAGATACTGGCTTCGTGGACAGGCACATATCTGTAATGAATTGACTGGAAAAGAAAGATGTGCGACTCGGCGCGTAGGTCTTCACTTCTGATGGTTTCTTCTTCTCCTCGGCCACCTTCACCTAAAGAATAAATGCAAACATTCCTTACATTTAGCACTCAACTATTCGCAATGATCTTACCTTAACACTCTCTTCGCCATCGGGAACATTTTCGTAGCTTCCGGACGAAACCGTTGTCGTCTCCACCACATCATAATATTCCGAGATGCCATTCTCAACATCTGATGAATTACTGTCTGTGTCCACGTTCTTAGCATAGACAGATACTCGAGGCTTAGCCTGATCCTTACTCACAGGCACGTGACGAGAAATAGGTCGCTTTGTATCGCCGAAGGACTTGTTCAAATTATTCTTGATCTCCAATCTCACTGACAAGTCTGAGGACTTCAAATCGGTCTCATCCTTCTTGTTTTGCAAAAGGTTCGAAGTCTCTTTTCCAAACTGATTCTTCTCCAGTGTCTCAGAGATCTCTTCAAGAAGGGACTTTTCAGAGACTGAAACAATAGCTGGGGAATCATCATCCTCAGCTTTTTTAGGCATCGCCTTAATGACAATACTTGTTGTATCTGACTTCTTTTCTGCAGGCTTCGACGGTCCAAACAATTGCTTGATCTCATTGACTTTATTTGTTGAATTGAATGGAGTGACAGTGATCTTGAGGGTTTGTTTCTTTCCCTCGCTATCCTTCTGTGTAGTTCCCAACTTAAGAGCGGCAAAGGATCTTTTAATGTTTACCTCAGGATCACCTAAGAGATTTCCATTATTCATATTGAAGTCCGTGTTGGTCTTAGTCAGGCGCTGCAGATCCTCGTTATCATCATAAACCGGTGCAGGTTCTTCACTCTGATCCGGAATCTCGAGAGTCTCAGCATCAGAATCCGTATCTGAGTCTATCCAATCCCCGCCAAATCCGATCACCTGGCTCAATTCCTTTGGGAAACTGACCTTGTTCTTCTTTCGCTTTCCGCCGGATCGCATGATCCCCTTGGGCGGCGCCTGCCTCATCGGCGGGATCTTAATAGATTTGGTCAGACTCACATGCTCGTCCTTGGATTTGAAGCAGTTAGAGCAGAGATCCTTCTTCCAGGCGTTCTGCACAAAGCACGGACACGAGACTGACGACATTTTTGATTGCTCAGAGTGTCATCTTCCTGCAAATAAGATGGAAGTCATTAGCCGGGAATGCGAGAACTCGCTCCATTAATTGGCTGAGATGCCACACAAGATTCCTCATAACTTAACAACATTATATTGTTACATTAGGAGAAGATCTCGGCACAGAGATATTTGCATACAAATAGACTTTCAAAGAAGAATGTCTGTATAATTTACACATCATCTTTAGAAAGGCATATCATAAAAAAGTCATCGCAGAGGCAAGAAAGCATGCAAGTTGGGAGATTCTTGTGACAGCCACCTGAATATAACATGAAACGATTGAAATCATATAATTAGAAGGTCAATTACAACCCATATTTAATTGATACAAAGATGTTCCGATAAAACATTTTATTAGGAATACAACACAATTTTCTGAGTGAGTTTGGAACAATAATTCGAGGTGGAATAACGGAGAAGTGTCTGTAAAGAAATGAAGAGTGACGATCAAAGTGTTTATGAGAGTATTTCTCCGCTCTTTTATGCCTGCAAATTTGCCGGACTTTGGCCTCAAAGTCTTCGCGTAATATATTTTGTGCACTCCAAAACACATCATACGATTATTCTTGTATTTATCTTCTCACCACAGAAATCATCTCCTGGAATCACTCTGATCAATCTTGCGTACAATTTTGCCATTCTCAGCCTTTACATATTCGTTTTCTACAAAAACATCGATCTGGAGTTGTACGAAAAGTTTCTTCACATCACAAATTCATCCATATTCATGTATCTCACGAAGCTCCAAGTGCTGGCCAATCTTCTGCTGGGCTTCATCAACATTGTCCTAGCGATGGTTCACTTTCGGATCCTCTGGATTATTCTAGATCGCTTTGACGAGATTAATTCAGTGCTGTCGCTGCACTTTGGAGCCATTTTCAGCCAAGGAATCATCAAGAGAGTGAATTACATTGCGGTTATCGTGAATCACTTGATTCTTGTGACCTTACTGATGATATCGTGGTTCTACTACGAGAAAATCCTCAACATCTCATCCTATATTATGTACCTTTCGCTGTACATGGGAAATTTGCCCACCCTGAGCCTCTTTAGCCAGTGTATCCTCTGCAATTTCTACGTGAAGAGACGCTTCGCGCTTATCAATGAGTACTTTGAGGAAATGGTAATGCCCGATGTCCAGAAGAACCCAATTTCAGTGTTCAATTTCGCGGAAAATCTGACGAGATTTCAGAAGGATTTTCCACTGACGCTGAAGCAAAAGAAGGCTGTGATGTCAACGGGATTTTTTGGGCTCCCGAAAATGCATAAATCTAGTGTGAACGTCTTGTGTACCCTTGAAACTTCCGCTCTTGTCCAGAAGATCAGTATCCTGGCGAAGCTTCACGACTCCTTGTGTGACTGCATTGAGCTCATCAATCAGGTCTTCAGTGTTCCCATTCTACTCGCCTTCTCAACAATGTTCATCTTTAACCTAATCGGATACTTTTCTTGCTACCGTGCTTTCTTCAACGCTCAACATCAAACATCAGTGATTACGGCAATTACAAATGTTCTCTGGATATCTTATTACGTTTTCCTGAAGTCCGTAATTATTCACGTGTCTCATACCATGAGTAGAACCGTAAGTTAATCAAAATTTGGTACATATGTCCATGTAAACAAATTAATTCGAGGTATTTTTTAATAGGCAAAACATACAGGTGTGATAGTTCACAAAATAATAAACTCAACAACCGAGAAGGAACTTCTTACAAAGGTATCTTCCATCCTTCAACGATTTGTGATGACTTATTGTAATACGTTTTTCAATTTCAGCTGTCAACAATTTCGGATCAAATATTAATAAGCAATCCCGTGTTTAATTGTGGTCTTTTTACATATGATTGGACTCTTATGTACACTGTAAGAAATCCCACACTATCTTTTAGACATAAATCAATATTTTTATCATTTCCTGATTTTTCAGATGGTGGTTTCAACCACAGCTTACTTGGCATTTCTTATTCAATTTGATTTGCCTTAAGTTTTCTCGGACAACGCAATTTGCATGATATACTAAAAATGTGTCTAAAACTATTATAATTTTGGTGGCAATTTTTTTTAATGTTTGGACGGTTTTCAAGAAATACAAAGAAAAGTCAGAACTCAACAGAAATGAACTCTTATGTTGTGACATTGTCCAGAATTAAATATTTAACATCTTGTGTTACAAATGATACATAAATCCATAATGTAGCATATGGATAACAACACTTTTTATGTAATTGATATAAAGATGTTCCGATAAAACATTTTATTAGGAATACAACACAATTTTCTGAGTGAGTTTGGAACAATAATTCGAGGTGGAATAACGGAGAAGTGTCTGTAAAGAAATGAAGAGTGACGATCAAAGTGTTTATGAGAGTATTTCTCCGCTCTTTTATGCCTGCAAATTTGCCGGACTTTGGCCTCAAAGTCTTCGCGTAATATATTTTGTGCACTCCAAAACACATCATACGATTATTCTTGTATTTATCTTCTCACCACAGAAATCATCTCCTGGAATCACTCTGATCAATCTTGCGTACAATTTTGCCATTCTCAGCCTTTACATATTCGTTTTCTACAAAAACATCGATCTGGAGTTGTATGAAAAGTTTCTTCACATCACAAATTCATCCATATTCATGTATCTCACGAAGCTCCAAGTGCTGGCCAATCTTCTACTGGGCTTCATCAACATTGTCCTAGCGATGGTTCACTTTCGGATCCTCTGGATAATACTAGATCGCTTTGACGAGATAAACTCAGTGCTGACGCTGCACTTTGGAGCCATTTTCAGCCAAGGAATCATCAAGAGAGTGAATTACATTGCGGTTATCGTGAATCACTTGATTCTTGTGACCTTACTGGTGATATCGTGGTTCTACTACGAGAAAGTCCTCAACATCTCATCCTATATCATGTACCTTTCGCTGTACATGGGAAATTTGCCCACCCTGAGCCTCTTTAGTCAGTGTATCCTCTGCAATTTCTACGTGAAGAGACGCTTCGCGCTTATCAATGAGTACTTTGAGGAAATGGTAATGCCCGATGTCCAGAAGGACCCAATTTCAGTGTTCAATTTCGCGGAAAATCTGACGAAATTTCAGAAGGATTTTCCACTGACGCTGAAGCAAAAGAAGGCTGTGATATCAACGGGATTTTTTGGGCTCCCGAAAATGCATAAATCTAGTGTGAACGTCTTGTGCACCCTTGAAACTTCTGCTCTTGTCCAGAAGATCAGTATCCTGGCGAAGCTTCACGACTCCTTGTGTGACTGCATTGAGCTCATCAATAAGGTCTTCAGTGTTCCCATTCTACTCGCCTTCTCAACAATGTTCATCTTCGACCTAATCGGATACTTTTCTTGCTACCGTGCTTTCTTCAACGCTCAACATCAAACATCAGTGATTACAGCAATTACAAATGTTCTCTGGATATCTTATTACGTTTTCCTGAAGTCCGTAATTATTCACGTGTCTCATACCATGAGTAGAACCGTAAGTTAATCAAAATTTTGTACCTATGTCCATGTAAAAAAATTAATTCGAGGTATTTTTTAAAAGGCAAAACATACAGGTGTGATAGTTCACAAAATAATAAACTCAACAACCGAAAAGGAACTTCTTACAAAGGTATCTTCCATCCTTCAACGATTTGTGATGACTTATTGTAATACGTTTTCCAATTTCAGCTGTCAACAATTTCGGATCAAATATTAATAAGCAATCCCGTGTTTAATTGTGGTCTCTTTACATATGATTGGACTCTTATGTACACTGTAAGAAATCCCACACTATCTTTTAGACATAAATCAATATTTTTATCATTTCCTGATTTTGCAGATGGTGGTTTCAACCACAGCTTATTTGGCATTTCTTATTCAATTTGATTTGCCTTAAGTTTTCTCGGACAACGCAATTTGCATGGTATACTAAAAATGTGTCTAAAACTATTATAATTTTGGTGGCAATTGTGTTTATGTTTGGACGGTTTTCAAGAAATACAAAGAAAAGTCAGAACTCAACAGAAATGAACTTTTATGTTGTGACATTGTCCAGAATTAAATATTTAACATCTTGTGTTACAAATGATACATAAATCCATAATGTAGCATATGGATAACAACACTTTTTATGTAATTGATATAAAGATGTTCCGATAAAACATTTTATTAGGAATACAACACAATTTTCTGAGTGAGTTTGGAACAATAATTCGAGGTGGAATAACGGAGAAGTGTCTGTAAAGAAATGAAGAGTGACGATCAAAGTGTTTATGAGAGTATTTCTCCGCTCTTTTATGCCTGCAAATTTGCCGGACTTTGGCCTCAAAGTCTTCGCGTAATATATTTTGTGCACACCAAAACAAATCATACGATTATTCTTGTATTTATCTTCTCACCACAGAAATCATCTCCTGGAATCACTCTGATCAATCTTGCGTACAATTTTGCCATTCTCAGCCTTTACATATTCGTTTTCTATAAAAACATTGATCTGGAGTTGTATGAAAAGTTTCTTCACATCACAAATTCATCCATATTCATGTATCTCACGAAGCTCCAAGTGCTGGCCAATCTTCTGCTGGGCTTCATCAACATTGTCCTAGCGATGGTTCACTTTCGGATCCTCTGGATAATACTAGATCGCTTTGACGAGATAAACTCAGTGCTGACGCTGCACTTTGGAGCCATTTTCAGCCAAGGAATCATCAAGAGAGTGAATTACATTGCGGTTATCGTGAATCACTTGATTCTTGTGACCTTACTGGTGATATCGTGGTTCTACTACGAGAAAGTCCTCAACATCTCATCCTATATCATGTACCTTTCGCTGTACATGGGAAATTTGCCCACCCTGAGCCTCTTTAGCCAGTGTATCCTCTGCAATTTCTACGTGAAGAGACGCTTCGCGCTTATCAATGAGTACTTTGAGGAAATGGTAATGCCCGATGTCCAGAAGGACCCAATTTCAGTGTTC